CCTAATAATTTATTTTCTTTTCTTTCTTTCTTTCTTTTTCTTTTCATTTGTTTTTGATCCTCAAACACTTGGGGTGGTGTTAAAGGATTAAAAACAATGTTTCTATCTTTATGAGTGAAAGATATTTTGTTAGTAAGACCATCATGTATAGTATGTTTGTCAAATTGCCATGGCCTTCCTAGCAAAATATGACAAGCTTCCATAGGGATTACATCACATAACACTTATCTTTATAATCCCCTATAGAAAACTTGACCTTCACTTGTTGATTGACCTCCAATTCCTCACCTTCATTGAGCCAATGAAGTTTATAAGGTTGAGGGTGAGGAATGGTGGTGAGAGCTAGCTTGTTAACCAACCTTGTACTACAACAATTAGAGCATGATCCACTATCAACAATGAGAGAATAAGGTCTTTTAGAAACTAAACATCTTGTATGAAAGATGTTCTCTCTTTGAGATAATGAAGTGGGATAAGGTTGACTTCCAAGAAGCCTTTTGACCATAAGAAGATCACCATCAACAGGATAAATCTTTTCTATTTCATGATCACTAGTCTTCTATTCACTTTCACTAGAAGATGAAGATGATGAGGATTCTTCACTATAAACCACACTATCTCTCAATGCCCCACCAAAAAGACCATGATCTTAAGGGGTAAAGACATTTATAGTGAAGAATCCTCATCATCTTCATCTTCTAGTGAAAGTGAATAGAAGACTAGTGATCATGAACAATTAAATGAGAAGATTCCAATTTCGTGACGGGTGAATCTGTTTAGAATAAAATGATTGAGAGCCATTCTGGCAGCGTACATTTAAAGGAAGTTGGTAACTAATTAACAACCGACCCATTCCACGGTGTAATTCCGTTAAGGCCAAAGAAAAATACTCTTGTATAAATATGCATTGTTCGACAAAACTCTCTGGCAGAAAGAGAAAGAAACAGACATAGAGAAAGTTTGATATATATCACGCAAAATCTCACTTATCTCTCTTTTTATTTTCCTTTCTCCAATAACGATGTTATCGTTGTCATCAATCAAAGATGATGATGACATGCAAGAGCAGGAATTTGCCAAGCGAGGTTGCTTTTGCATTCCATGCTTGGGCCCGAGCTCCAAAATGTCATCATCGTCGAGCGGGTTTAGGCTGTGGGCGAGGATGCGGACCCCGGAGAGCAAGGAGCGGTGGTGGGCCAAAGGGTGGAGCAGGATAAGGGAATGGTCGGAAGTGGTGGCAGGGCCCAAATGGAAAACCTTCATTCGCCGCTTCAGAAAGAACTACCGCCCCATTGGGTTCACCAAGCAAGACTCGTTTCAATACGGCCCACATAGCTATGCCCGCAATTTCGATGACGGGAATGGAGAAAAACTGGACCAAGATTACGCTTATGATTTTTCGTCACGTTATGCTTCCGTTCCCGCATCGACTAAGTCTTCCATGGACCTCGGAAAGGATGGCCCCTCATTCATATGACTAAGCTTTCGAAAGGGGTGGTAGGTGAAAATTTTACAAGCTACGTAGGATTCTTGTTTGCAACCTTCAAAGTATCGAAAGAAAGTCTAAATTTGGACAAAACTGATGTATGGTAGTGTTATTAGGGTAGTCCTCTTCTCATAGTTGGAGTATCATTTCAGTTGTCACAAAAAAAAAAATTGCATAAATTTTTTTTAGAAGTAAAAAGAAAAAAATTAAAAAGACTCCAAAAATTAGTAAAAAAAAAATTCTACTACTCTAATTTTCACTTAGGTCTTTGATTTTCAATTTTTTTGAATTTCAAAGAGATAATTCAAATGTAATATTACTGCAGGGCTCATGGGTTTTAATGCTTCAACAAAACTTGAAATCAATTGAAATCCAAAAACATTTAAGGAAACAAAAAATAGTGAAAATTACAAAACATATGGAAACGTAACTCTACTTGTGAGCATGTTCATGATCTAATAAGATGCATGAACTTAAATCACAAACAAAAAATAGATGAACAAATTCGGTCTAGGTACATATACAAATATTTCTTCAAGATTCAAAAACAAAAGGTGTTACTAGAAGGAATGACAACAAAAAGACTAAACATGACATTTAAGACGTACATAAGCATTTACATAGTTTTCAAAAGAAAAATGACACATAAAACACGCAAGTACTTTTCATGCTTCTAACATCATATTACACATCGAAAAATAACGCAAAGCTTGTGTCTAGGGGTGGGTATGCGGACCGGTCCGGCCCGTTTAAGGCTATCTCTCAATGCCCCACCAAAAAGACCATGATCTTAAGGGGTAAAGACATTTATAGTGAAGAATCCTCATCATCTTCATCTTCTAGTGAAAGTGAATAGAAGACTAGTGATCATGAAATAGAAAAGATTTATCCTGTTGATGGTGATCTTCTTATGGTCAAAAGGCTTCTTGGAAGTCAACCTTATCCCACTTCATTATCTCAAAGAGAGAACATCTTTCATACAAGATGTTTAGTTTCTAAAAGACCTTATTCTCTCATTGTTGATAGTGGATCATGCTCTAATTGTTGTAGTACAAGGTTGGTTAACAAGCTAGCTCTCACCACCATTCCTCACCCTCAACCTTATAAACTTCATTGGCTCAATGAAGGTGAGGAATTGGAGGTCAATCAACAAGTGAAGGTCAAGTTTTCTATAGGGGATTATAAAGATAAGTGTTATGTGATGTAATCCCTATGGAAGCTTGTCATATTTTGCTAGGAAGGCCATGGCAATTTGACAAACATACTATACATGATGGTCTTACTAACAAAATATCTTTCACTCATAAAGATAGAAACATTGTTTTTAATCCTTTAACACCACCCCAAGTGTTTGAGGATCAAAAACAAATGAAAAGAAAAAGAAAGAAAGAAAGAAAAGAAAATAAATTATTAGGAAAGATTTTTGCATAGCATATAAAATATCTTTGCTTAATCATGAGTAATCTATCTCAAAGTGATAGTGATTTAGAATCTCCTAAAAGTTTTTCTCAAATTGTTAAAGAGGTTGAATCACTAAAACTTTGGAGGAAACAAGAGGTACTTCTTAAAGAAAAAGAAAAGATTGAAAGAGAAGTACAACTTGTTGCTCTTGAGGAGGAAATACACAAGATTAAGCAACAAGAGGCAAAACTTTTGGAAAAGCTTAAAAAAAGAAAAGTCATAAGAGTTCCCATGGCTCCACAAGCCAAGAGTATGTAGGAAGTTTGAATGTGGATGAATACTACCAACCTAATCCTAGACGAATAATTAGAGAGCCAAAGGTTAGGGAATCAAGAGTTGATCTCCCTCCTTTCCATGGAAAAGAAGATGTGGATGCCTACTTGGACTAAGAAATGAAAGTGGAGCAAATCTTCACTTGTCACCAAGTAAGGAAAGAAAGAAAAGTTTTCTTGGCCACCTTAGCTTTCCAAGGACAAGCTATGTATTGGTGGACAGCCTTGGTTAGAGAAAGGCGACTCCATAATGACCCACCCATAGAGTATTGGAATGATTTGAGAAGTGCTATGAGAAGAAGGCATATACCTTCCTATTATAGTATGGAGCTTATGGATAAGCTCCAACGACTCCAACAAAAGAATATGAGTGTGGAGGAATATAGACAAAAAATGGAGTTGTATTTGATGAGGCTGGAATAAGGGAGGAAGAAAGATTGACCATTGCTCGATTCTTGAGTGGTCTAAACTTTGAAATAAGAGATAGAGTTGGGTTACTCCCTTATAGGGACCTTGATGACTTGGTCCAACTTTGTATAAGGGTAGAACAACAACTTCTTTGAAAATCTTCTAAAAATATCAATTCTAAATCTTATTTTAAGGAAGATTCCAAGAGGGAGGGAAGTTCATTTAAGAATTATTCTAAAGAAAATCCCTCTAAAACTCAAGAAATTGAAAAAGATGTGGAAAAGAAAAGGATCACCTCACACACTAGTTCAAAGACGAGTGAAATCAAATGTTTTAAGTGTCTAGGTAGAGGCCACACTATCTCTCAATGCCCCACCAAAAAGACCATGATCTTAAGGGGTAAAGACATTTATAGTGAAGAATCCTCATCATCTTCATCTTCTAGTGAAAGTGAATAGAAGACTAGTGATCATGAAATAGAAAAGATTTATCCTGTTGATGGTATTTTTTAAGTTCCACATTTAAACGGGTAGTCCGCGGGCTCGCAGATTAAATCCGCAAAATCCATGGACTTAACGGGCCGGACCTAAAAAGTCCATATGATTATACGGATTAAAAAAATTGGGCCCGTTATCCGTGAAGTCCGCGAACTTACGGACCGGTCCGCGGACTCGAGTCCATATACCCACCCCTACTTGTGACACCCTCTACCCCAACATATATAATAATTATAAAAACATTTTCTTGGGTTAAATAAAATATTTAGAATTAAAACAATTTTTCCATTAACATAAGAGTATAGAATTTACATTTGTAAACTTAAAACATGGTCAAATGCGAAATTTATAGGAAAATGAAACATGAGTTTTTCCAAAACAAAAATAACAATATAATGAAATCCTAAACTAAGCCTAGCTATGCCCCGATGTCACATATCCTATTAGAGCATGCCCAACTAAAGTCGAAGCCTCATCACCAACATCCTCATGCCGATGATCGCCTGCAACATAATTTAAACACATACAAAGAACAACAAGGGAGTGAGAAACATCTCACTCAGGTTCAGGTGCAGAAATAACAGTTAGGCAGCACACACACAAGTCCTAACAAGCACATCCATAACTACACATTAATCAGGCGCAATTTTAGATTATACATACAACCGTAACACATACAATCATTCATCATGTAATGATGTCATGGACTCGACTCATAAATGCATGCATGTGGCGCCAGTCACGTGTCTCGTAATCACATATCACGTGGTATGTTGCCGAAGCAACATACCTGGAGTAGTCTAAGAGTACATGCCGGCTCAACCGTGCACTCTCAACTAGAAGGATGTACTGCTAGGGTCTCGTTGGGATAGCAAAGCCCTGCAAGATACGTCTCATGCACACAAATGGGCAGAACTGGGCCTTCCAAACCACACTATCCCCTAGGACTCCTCCAAGATGTTTCGAACTTGGAGGGCCTTCCCTAACGATGTACTCTATATCGTACCCCATCACATAAATGCATATGATGCATGTCACACATTCACAAACTCATGGACTCAACATTTTACTTATCAAGAAATTTCATGTCTCATGTCACTTATTCACATTTCACATTTCACATTTCTCATAATCATACTCATAATTGTTCCTCACAGGGTTTCGCACAAGAACCCGCAGAGCATTCTAATTCATATAAAACCTATCTATTTTTGAAATTAAACACATTCACGCGTCACATCCAACAAGGAACACAACATAAAACTCAAACATCAAAACAGAAAACATTCATATTTTGCTTGTTCCTAGAAGCATGCGTCAGGCAAGGGATTGGGGGCCAATCCTGCTACCCAACAATTATTCTCACACCACCGAGCGAGGTTTCTCACTCCCCCTTACCTCAATAAGCAAAAGATGAAGCTAGAGCAGAATCTGGTTGGTCTCCTTCTCTTGTTCTCCTTGGTCTTTAGAGAGCATAGAAGGGAAAATGAAGTCAGAAGCGTGAAATGCTTTTGGTAGCCTCAGGTAACTTCCTAACTCCTGAAAACACGTAGCAAGCTTTATTAGATCTTCAACTATGGAGATTTTAGGTGCTTTGTGGCAACCTTTCACACTACACAAATATCTCACAGATCTCAGGAAATACAAACAAAGAGAGAGAGAGAGAGAAATTTCGAGCTATAAGGAGTTCTGGATGAAGTTTTGGCCCCTAAGAGCAGTATCTGACGCACCTATTTATAAACATCAAGACTGACCAGAACGGTCCGTTTCATATTCGGAACGGCTCATTTTGGGAAATTTTGTTATGGGTAAAATGTGAATATGGAACGTCCCGTTCCCAAAGTGGAACGGCCGATTGTGGATTCGAATTTTACTCATAACAGCCTGTGTTGAAACGGTCCGTTCCAATCTAGGGTTTATAGGTCTTTTTAGTAGTTTGGTACGGCCCGTTCCAGTTTGGGAATGACCCGTTCTAGGATACTAAATCACCCTTATTGGGCTTTGAGCCTTCTGATGTCATATCATGTTATTTTCCCAAGCTTTGGGAGCTCTTTTCTTTGATAATAGAAGTCCATTTCTTTGTTTGTATGCCCTAGATGAAATTAGGTGTCTACAATATTTATACAAAAAAATCAAAATAATTTCTAAAATATCTTAATATAATTTATGAAAATTGGGGTGTTACAAAGCTCATTGAAAAAAATCCTCAGGCAATACACATAGATTTGGTCATAGAAATTAGTACTAAAAATTTTTTGAACAAAAATTTTTCAAGACATTTTAGATCTATCATATAGCATTCAAAAATTTAGATCTATGCAACAAAGATACTACAAGACATGTACATATTGTT